GTGGAGAGGCGGGCTGGTATCCAGAGGGCGGCGGGGGCATGATGTAGCTGGGCTGTGGTGGAGGATGCTGGGATAGTACGGCGGGTGGAGGCTGGTATAGGCTGGGTGGCTCTGGTGCCTCGCTGGAGCTCTGACGGCTGAGAGACATCTGCCTGAAACCTGGAGTCAACTCATCTCCCTGAACAGAGACAGAGAGAGATCAGCATGAGCCGCTTCACGGTCCACACTGGTGGCATCCTAACAGTTATGGAGCTTTATAAGTGACTGATCTGAAATGCTCTTCATGCACAGCATCTCTGTTAATGACCAGAATGCAGAACACAATTGGAGCTTCTCACACGCAGCATTTTGTTAAGCTAACAATGCAATACTCTAATCACAAAAACAATGTAACAAACAAAAATACTGGTTAAGATACTGGGTGCTCCATCTTCATTCTTGGATTACAATTTTCATTGAGATTGTCAATGCATTCTGGGATGGCCTTACCTGCTGAAGATACACTAAATATATAACTATTATTATGTAACTAAAATAAATCAAAATTATTTAATAAAACAAAACGAGAAGACAATCCACCTAGAATAGTTGCACCATGACAAAAAAAGCATAAAAAAATAGTAATAATAATATTAATACAACTAAATAAAATAATAAAACAAACAAAAAAAAAACAAATCGTAAACAAACAAAAAAAAATAATAATAATAAATAAATAAATAAAATTAAAAAAAAAAATAAATAAATAAAAATAAATGTCATCCACTTAGAATAGCTGTACCAGGACAGCTATATGAAAATATAAAAAATAAAAAGTACATAAAATAAATAAAATAGTAAAAGTCACGCGCCTAGAATAGTTGTCACAGGACCATTTTACATCTCAAATAACACATTTGGGTACAGAATATTTAATAAATGCTCATCAGCAAAAATAAAATCTGCACATTTCTGCTCAGCTTCGTTTTAAAATTTGCCATATTTAAATTTGTTTCACAAAATCAGCAGCAAATGGTGCAAAAAATACCGGAAAAAAATCACTACTAAATACACAATCCAGCTGAAGAGGAGAAAAGTGAGAGAGAAGAGATGAAGGTAAGCGAAGGGAAAGATGCAGGAGAGAGAGAGCAGAGCAGAGCTGAAGTACCATGTTGTATTGCTGGGAAGGAGAAACAGGCAGGATGACCTGAGGGCACGAAGGGTTTGAATAAGACACAGCCTGCGCAGACGGCTGCAGAGACACAGAGAGAACAGAGGAACAGACGTTCAGGAGGAATCGACAAGCAGACGGAGGAAATGTTAGAGCAGAGAAACTGAAACACTAAATCCGACATGAGTTCAGCTGTGTTCATAGCACTTGCAGTATCAGCAATAGCAGTGTTTCAGCACGACAAACCACCACAAATACAGAGAAACAACCCCGTATCAATACATGCGTTCTCGTATCACTCCGGCTCCAAAAATCCTCATGAATTAAAACAAACAAAAAAAGCACAAAGGCCCACACACAATGATCTTATAAAAGAAAAAACCTTCAAAAATATGAATTCAGAGGCCATAAATATGACAAAAGCTTTCAGCGCAAAAACAAACATTTGCTGAAATCACATTATCATTAGTATCTAAGTAGAAATTGCACACCTTAACTCACTAATTATAAAGCATCTAATACATGTATGTTAATATCTATCAAACAAATTCATATTATTGTAGTTCTACTTTTTTGTTATTGTTATACTGTGTTCTTTTTCTCGTCATTATTTGACTAATGTAATAATGCTTTGGCAATATTGTATGCAAACAATTGTGCACAGTTAAATATTTTTAATATAATAATTTGAACAAATACTAAAGAATTGATAAATGAAATATATATATACACACATTTTTATTATAATTTTCGTTAGGAATATATATATATATAAATTACATTTAGAATTTGCAAGCTATGTAATAATGCCTTGGCAATATTGTATGCAAACATAATTGTGCACAATTAAAGATTTTTAAATTAAATTGAAACTGAAATATTTCAAACAGATAAAAAATAATAATCTGAAAAAATACTAAAGAATGAATAAATGATATATATATATATATGTATGTATATATATATATATATATATATATATATATACACACACACACACACACACACATTTCTAAAGAAAATTATAATAAAAAACTATTATAAAAATGTATTTTGGAGTTTGCAAGCTATAAAAAAAATTATGCATATATATATATATATATCACCATCAAGACATTTCTCAAATGGCATTGTGTTTGGGCTTTTGTGCTTGTTTTGACTGACTCATGAAGAAAAAAAAATTGTAACAAAATACCTCCCGTCTCAACATTAAATCTAGATATTTTATTATTTTGTAATGAACAACATTCAGACGTTATTCTGCTGTAGCTGAGGATGAGTATAATGTGTGTGCGTGAGGCTGACAGTGGCTCACCTGAGGCAGCATGTGATTGTGTGCGCTGATGGCGTGCTGTGTGTGAGTGTGTGTGTGTGCGTGTGCGTGTGCGTATGTGGGGCGGAGCTATCAAAATAGGGGCGAGACCCTTTTGGGGTAGGGGCGTGTTTGTTTTAGTGATTTCAAATGTCAACATTGGCTACCAGAAATCACTTACCCCACCTTTAATGTTTATGATACGATAGATAGGGGTGTAACGGTACATGTATTCGTACTGAACATTTTCGGTACGGGTCTTTCAGTTTAGTGCGCATGTTTACCAAACAAATACAGCGTTGATTTAACCACTGCACGAGTGGAACTTCATTTGAAACTTCCAGTTTTATATAATGTTACTTTTGATAAGAAACAAAGTGTCATCTTTCAAATTATGTCAATTTTATTCAGGAAATTCAAACAATAAATGCGGTTTTGGCACTCTTTGATGTGGCGCGACAGATAGCGCGATCATCTCTTCCTCTTTACTAGATTTAACGTGAAATAAACATGAATGAACGTCTCATGCCTCATGTAATCACTCAACCAACGTTTCAACCGCAAAGACGTTAGTAAAACAGGTTTGTAAACAAAATGTCACATAGCATTATATTTACCTTTACATTTGCGTAATATTAGACTATATACTCATTACATTTGACCTGTTAGTGATGTCTTAATTATATAATGTACTGTATGTTTAAATAAATCTCTTATGAAACAAATTATGTGTAAATTAATATTTCAACAACAAATAGCCTAGAATTTTTATAATTTAGAAGTTAATTTAAAAACTGCATTATGTGCAATTTACATGTTTTGCATACAGTTTTTTTTTAAAGTTGAGTGTTGATTATTATATTTAAAAATAAATAGTAAATTAATTTAAGTTTGGGGTCTGCTGTTAATTGTAACCTTGTAGTAATGTAAAAGGGCTCCCTATAGTTTAGAGCATAAGCTGAGGTAGATTTTTATCCCTAAGAAAAATGTAATTATAATTAAATTTTTTTAAAGAAAGAGCAATTTGTTCAGTAAACCACTGTTTAATAATAATTTTTAAAAAAAAAGTTTAGTTTTTCCCCCTGATGTACCGAAACCGTACCAAACCGTTACACCCCTAACGATAGACAATGAGAGGATCTGACCCCAGACCAGTTTGCATGATGCAAACCAGTTCACACGAATAAACAAAAGAAAACTCTCGCAATTTAAATGCATTGATGAAAAATGTCATCACTAAAATCTAATGTATGTACTATGATACATCTGATCTGCAATAGAGCATATAAAAATATCACAAGTGTTTTATTCCTATGAAAATAAGACATTTAAAATTAAAAATATATTCTAAAATGTAATTGTTATTTTAAAAATTCCATCCCTGTTATTCCTGTTATTCATTTCCCTTCAAAAATAAACAGTTCAATGCATTTTGCATAAGGAAAAAAAAACAACCAACCAACCAAACAAATAAATAAATGAACAAAATATATATTTATATTATTTTTACTTGGGAGCAATATACACGGTAAATAAATAAATTAGTGCTGGGCGGTATACCGGTTCATACCGAATACCGGTGTTTATTTTTGTTATGATATGAATTTTTAAAATACCGCAATAGTATGTCGCTTAAACTACGTTGGGAACGCGACACTGTTTGAAACGGGTCCCTTGTCACTGTTGCTCTGTGGTGAGGGAACAGCTGTATGTGTTACTAAGCATGAAAGTTCAGAAACTGAAGCTGTAGAACTAATAGAACGTGATGACACAGAAGAACTAAAAATACCGTGATATAAATTTTTGGTCATACCGCCCAGCACTAAAATAAATACATATTTTTTCCCCATTTTATTCCTGTTTTGGGAAGTGAAATTAAATTCAAATAAATAAATTCAAATCAAATAAAGTTTTCTCCCACGCAAGTTGTTTTGGAAGAAACATAGCTGGAAGAAATAAAATCAAATCAAATAAAGAAAAAAATAAAATAAAATAAAACGTTTCTTCCAAGCAAAAACTATTATTCGCTGAGTAATGTATGGCGGAACGAGATGTCTTGTTTTTCAAACTTGTAGTGCCAAAAACTTCTAACTCTTTTGCAAAAAGACTTTAAGATGTAACGAGCAGCAGGATTTTGGCCCTTTGCATCTGCATTTGCGTTCTACATGAGTATAATAAGATCACGGCTTTGATATGATAGACTGCTGCTACATTGTGCTGACAGAAGACAGTTTTCTCAAGCACGGTCAGCAAGGGTGTGTGTGTTACCTGTGCGGGAGCTCCTGGCGCTGCCCAGACTGTCTCCGCGCGTGAGGATGGAGATGCCGCTGAAGCTGCTGGCTTTGGTGACCGGAGGTCTGAGCGTACGGTTGGAGCTGTCCGAGTCTGTGCTGCTCCACGGACGCGGCTCCAGGCTCTTCATGTCGCTGTCGGTGCTGCTCTGGCGACTGCTAGACGCCCGGCTGGAGCTTTCCCTGTTACCCCTGCGGACGGGATGAGAACACACACACAGCTGTGTGAAAACACTCACAAACACTCATTCTGGCAGTCCAAACACACACATACAAACATGCAGATCCATCACCGGAGCTCCACACAAACTCAGTTGCAAGAAGAAAAGTGCTGACAATAAACACAAACCTGAATATTAAAGACACGCATACAAACACACTCAAACATCAGACACGGAACACAGACCAGGGCTGCACCGTACAGCCAAATCCACCACGCTCGCATTTAATGCAACAGCATGGAGTGGAGGTATGGTTTACAGTGCTGCTCATGCAGTCATGCATGAGGATTTTCTAGTTTAAATGCACATTTGAAAACTACTTAATTCAAACATTTGCTTGTGTAAATTATGGGTTTTATTTAGCGTGCAGCTCTACGACACACACGCACACGCATGTGAACCTGGAGCACAAAACCAGTCATAAGGGTACATTTTTATACATCATGGTATGGTTTGTTAGGATCGGACAATATTTGGCTGAGATACAACTATCTAAAAATCTGGAATCTGAGGGTGCAAAAAAATCTAAATATTGAGAAAATTGCCTTTAAAGTTGTCCGAATGAAGTTCTTAGCAATGCATATTACTAATCAAAAATTCAGTTTTGATATATTTACTGTAGGAAATTTACATGGGACATGATCTTTATTTAATATCCTAATGATTTTTGGCATAAAAGAAAAATCTATAATTTTGACCCATACAATGTATTGTTGGCTATTGCTACAAATATACCCCAGCGACTTAACACTGCTTTTGTGCTCCAGGGACACATTTGTAATGCGCTGCCCTCCTGCACAAGAGCAGCTGTCCAGAAAACCAATAATCAATCATCAGTCAATAGTTCTGTGTATTTAACAGCTAAAGATACTCAAAACCGTTCCAGAGTTCAGTAAATCTTCATCAATAGTGTTACGTTACACAGATCAGCTCTCAAAACAACTACTCAGAGATGCGCTTCAAGCTCATGGACAAAAAACGAACCCGTCTGTGCGTGACTTTCATTACGCTTCAAATGCACTTCCTAAGAGACCTAACAGGAGACGAACAACAGATGCAACAGACTAAATTCAAATATTTTGTGCAAAGAGTGAAAAATATGTGTGATAAAAATGCACAGATGATTAAAATAACTGATCTGTAAAACACATCCTGGTGATGCCAGATGACTTATTTCCTAACGGGAACCGGGACTGGAGCTGACATTCACGTTCTAGAGTATCTTCTGGGTGCTTTTCCACATCTTGCACATAAAACTACTGGGAACAAACACACAAGTTTTCCCAAGATATACAGAAAAAGGTGATGAAACAAAGCATTTCATCTTATAATCTAATGCAACAAATGTGATTTTGAATCAGGGAAACGATTAAATTAGATTCACTCCAGCACAAAATTACCAGAATAAAGTTAATAAAAAGTGTCTATTTGATTGGACGAGAGACCTCAAAGGCAAAACCAGGACTTATTTACAAATGTAATTTATAATATTTTCGCTTGCCTCCCTTTTTTCCTATCATGCAGTCTAAAACTATGGAGGCACGCTTCCACCACATAATTGCAATTTTTATCTCACAATTTGGGCATTTTTCCAATTTTCCTATAGTTTATCCCTCACAATTCAGACTTTTTGTTCAGAATTGCGAGCTGTAAAATCAAATTGCAAGATGTAAACGCAGAATTGTGAGATGTAAACGCAGAATTGCGAACTATAAAATCTAACTGTGAGCTGTAAACAGAATTGCGAGATGTAAACGCAGAATTGCAAGCTATAAAATTGAATTGTGAGCTGTAAACAGAATTGCGAGCTGTAAACAGAATTGCGAGATGTAAAATTGAATTGCGAGCTGTAAACAGAATTGAGAGTTGTAAACAGAATTGCAAGATGTAAAATCTAATTGCGAGCTGTAAACAGAATTGCGAGTTGTAAACAGAATTGAGAGTTGTAAACAGAATTGCGAGATGTAAAATCGAATTGCGAGATGTAAACAGAATTGCGAGATATAAACGCAGAATTGTGAGCAGTAAACAGACTTGCGAGATGTAAAACTGAATTGCGAGCTGTAAACAGAATTGCGAGATATAAATGCAGAATTGCGAGATGTAAATGCAGAATTGCGAGATGTAATAAACAGAATTGAGTTGTAAACAGAATTGCAAGATGTAAACAGAATTGAGTTGTAAACAGAATTGCGAGATGTAAACAGAATTGTGAGATATAAAAACAGAATTGCGAGATGTAAACGCAGAATTGCGAACTATAAAATCTAACTGTGAGCTGTAAACAGAATTGCGAGATGTAAACAGAATTGCGAGATATAAATGCAGAATTGCGAGATGTAAACGCAGAATTGCGAACTATAAAATCTAACTGTGAGCTGTAAACAGAATTGCGAGATGTAAACAGAATTGCGAGATATAAATGCAGAATTGCGAGATGTAAACGCAGAATTGCGAACTATAAAATCTAACTGTGAGCTGTAAACAGAATTGCGAGATGTAAACGCAAAATTGCGAGATGTAAACAGAATTGCGAGATGTAAACGCAAAATTGCGAGATGTAAACAGAATTGCGAGATGTAAACGCAAAATTGCGAGATGTAAACAGAATTGCGAGCTATAAAATTGAATTGTGAGCTGTAAACAGACTTGCAAGATGTAAAACTGAATTGCGAGCTGTAAACAGAATTGCGAGATATAAATGCAGAATTGCGAGATGCAAACGCAGAATTGTGAGAAACAGAATTGCAAGATGTAAAATTGAATTGTGAGATGTAAACAGACTTGCGAGATGTAAAACTGAATTGCGAGATATAAACGCAGAATTGCGAGATGTAAACGCAGAATTGCGAGCTGTGAACTCGAATCGCGAGATGTAAAATTGAATTGCGAGCTGTAAACAGAATTGCGAGATGTAAAATCGAATTGCGAGCTGTAAACAGAATTGCGAGCTGTAACCTCGAATTGCGAGCTGTAAACAGAATTGCGAACTGTGAACAGACATTGTAATCAATCTTCTGATGCATAATGTGTTCGATCTCCTGCTTATGGGAATCCCTAACAGAATGAAGCATCTTCTGTCAGATGACCCTGTGAACATTTGAACACTGAACTAACACATGTCTGTAATGAACCCTAATTCTACTGGGAAACCCAACAAACCCTGCAATCTGTGTGTTTCTGCGGTGTGTGTGTATGTAATTAATGAATGAGCTATTTTAAGCGGCAGCTGCACTGTCTATTTTAGAGCAGCACTCACTGCAAACACGCAACGCTCCACTGCTCCATGACATTTGCTTTCTTTGATCCAACCGCTCCCACATTTCTCTTCATAATCACGAGGATGAGATCTGGAATATGATGCAGTAACGTCACGCATTCAACACAGATGCAGAAAGACACTCCAGAAATGCGACACTGGCGTTATTGTGTTACATGAGGAAACATCACACACACACACACATTGGCATCAGTCACACTGTTGAAGCACGGTAAGCAACCAACAGATACAGAACGTCCTGGTTTGTAACCATAGCGA